CACCAAAAAGACAAGAAAAGTATGCCAAACCACAAAAACACAATACGATAAGAAAAGTACACGAAACACGATAAAATGGACCGGTCGACACTAAAACGAACCTAAAAACACTAAACTAAAACACATAAAACACACGAAAATAAGCACAAAAACACAATAAACAACTACTCCCCCACACTTAACTCTTTGCTTGTCCTCAAGCAAACAAAACAACAAGTAGTTCGAAGAGATATATCGAACGGGCCAAAATTAACGAACATGCAAAATGAAACTCTCATTATCATCCGGTTATCCCAAAATCAAAATCCAATCCGAGACACGGTCCCCACATAGTGAATCAAACGAAACAAAAACTCGTCCCGAGTCATTCCACGAATGATAACTCGAGTCAAACTCCCTCATTAACATATACGTGCAAAAACCATAAATGATCTACAAAACATGAAATAATAAGCACGAGATCAATAAGCCACCTCCCCAATTTTCTTTCTTTTTTTTTAATGATGAGCCACTTTTTCCAAATGAGAGCCGTTAGGACGATTATTACCTAGGTTTACCCTCGGGGGTTATTCCCGAGTCGCCTAGGCCGGTTTCCCGTGCTCGTTGACCCGATCTATCTAGAAGATTAACCGAGCCAAGAGGAGCCTAATCCTTTCAACTCCCACGAACTCATTTTGTGAGCTTTTATTTCCAAACGAAGTTTTCGGACGAGATGATCTAGGTTTGACCTCGAGGGGTTTCCCCGAGTCTCCTAGACCGGTTCCCCGGGCTCATTATCCCAATCCACGAATGGTTCGAAATAAGAGGAGCCTAATCCGTACTTCCTCGCGAACTCACTTTTTATTCCTCTTTTTTTTTAGGGAGAGGCACACAAGGATACATCACAATTACAATACATAATCATCACAAATCAAACGAAATGTACCACAAGTGTATAGATAACACGTTACAACGATAATCGAACATAAGGAAAGCATGCCTCAAGACAACCAATAAAAAACGAACGAAAGACGAAACAATTCCGTTAATCCACATGCGAGTTCCAATGTCAACGAATCATCAATCAATTTAAGGAAACCGTCAAATTCATCAAGTACACCAAGCATGAATGCTAATAGTGAAACCAATCAATAATCTCGACTCACCACTTAGCTATCTCGACTCTCGAACAAACATCAAGTTTCATGCGGGAGAGATGACACAAACACACAAAAACTCAAATTAAACCGGTCCACGACACAACAAAAATGAAAAATAAGGCACAAAAACGAGAGAAATATCACCTAAACATGCATAATCACGAAAATCCCTCCCCCACACTTAAAACAAAGCAATGTCCTCATTGCTTGACCAAAAAGCTTAGGAGAAAGAGCATAATTATATACGTTCAAGTGATAAAAACCAAAATGAAACAAAATAAACAAATAAATGACAAAAAGAAAACACGAAGACACACAAAAAACAAAGAAGGAAATAAGAAAATAGGAAAAGAAAATGCGTACTCTACACGGTGGTGCTCCACCGTGTGTCTAATGGTGTTTGTCCA